AGATTGGATTGATAAAGAATTTGGAAAAGATGTTTTATTAATTGTGCTTTGTAAGAAAGAATTGTTTCATATTTGTAACATTTTTACCTTCAGATATTCATAAATCAAAGACTATGTGTCACAATTATCCTCTTTTTTCCTGTTCTGAGGCAATTCACAGACAATTTCAAAGACAAGGATGGAGCTCTTCTGTTCAGCCCATTCTGCTGTAGCACTGACACATGGCTCCAGCATAGAAAGCGTTGAATTCCTGGTGCTGGGGCCGGCCAGCTGGGCCCAACACCAGTCTTTGTTTACTGAAAATGAGTACAATGGATTCAGGACGGCCCAGCAGCAGTGGCTGTTGGCAGAAGTATGAAATCAATGTTTCTGCTACATTTGGGATCTGAATGATCGATGAAAACAACAAGATGAGATAAAAGTAGCAAAGTAATCTTCAGCTTTTATTTAACACTATTTATATACAAATAGAATAATTCATGGACCCTTTGTCTCCCCCCACTCGTGAGAAAATAGCTGCTAAATAATCCACTGTGTTCACTAACCACCAGTGGTGAATTATAAGACCTGGACATTCAAATCTGAAACATAATGGGTCAAAAAGAAGAAAAAGGCAAACGATTTGGCTCAGACACACAAATATGTTGGAAAGTCTTCCTAAGTAACTGCTGATGAAACAGCACATCAAGCTGATGCAGATATGACATCAAAACGAACTTCACAGCTTCAATTACCAGCTGTTCGTCCATCTTCTTCTACTTAACCATTTCAGGGTCACAGTTGGCAAGAGCCTAACCACGGTGTATGGTTTTACAAGGAGAAATGAGACAGACAACTATTCACACGTATGGGCAATTTAGATTCACCAAACTTAACCCCAATAACTTCATGTCTTTAAACTGTCAGAGTACCCAGAGAGAACCCACGCAGACATGACGTGAAAGGAAAGGCTATTCAAACTATTTGCTTTTTCTATAATCTTAAACCATTTAAACATGTTTTATAAATGAAGATTACAGATAAACTGTGATTGTGACTTAAGGATATATTTCAGTTACTTTAGAAAAAGAAATGTTGTTTAATGAAAATTACTCTACAGCCAATGAGCTCCATGCAAACTAAAATTGAGTTGGACGCAGGTTCCGCCGAAAAACAAGCTAATACATGATGCCGTATCATGACTTTGATGTAGCAGACTGGTTTTCCTGATGTACCCGATGATGGCACAAATGAAAGGACAAACACTGGTGAATGTGAAAAAGTCTTTCACTTTCAGTGTCAACCAAATAAAGACCTTGAATATGAAATAAAGAAATAGAACCAAGGTTACAGTGTAAACTTGGTTTCAGAGAGCAAACTTAACCCAAGCACTTTACACTGGTGCTGATGACTGAGACGTTTGCAGAGTTTTGTTTCTCTGGCGACAGCAGAGGACGGTCGCCGTGACGATGACGATGAGGACTGTTAACATGATGAAGCCTACACCAACCCATGCTCCAACACTCAAATCTGCAGAAAGAACGAGGGTCACTGTTAAATAGACTACCTGAGCACTCAAAGTGCTTTATACAACATGCCTCATTCACACACATCTTTTCTTTGTCTAAGTGCTTTCTATCTAATATTCACACTCATGCATCAAGAACAACTGTAGCTGAGGAGGCAGAGCAGGTCATATACTAATCAGAAGGTTGGTGGTTCGATCCCGTCTACAAGTATCCTTGGGCAAGATGCTGACCCCGAGCTGCTCTCCGATGCATCTACTGGAGTATGAATGGCTGTGTCCCAATTCAGGGTCTGCACGCTTGAAGTACGGGCACTACGCGTACTACG